TGTGGAGGGCGCAGCTCCTTGGCCCATGTGGGAATCGAACTGGCAACCTTGGTGTTATGAGCCTGCACTCTAACCACCTGAACTAACTGGCTGCTTGGAACAATTATTTATTTACCCAGTTCCTCTGGGTATGGACACTGGTTTGCTTCCAGTCTTTTGCTGTTTCAAGCTTATAGTGAACATTCACAGATACCCATGTGACAATAATATTATGGCTCATGACAGTTGTCTCAAGGAGGCTGTCATGGATTTTTTGACCTTGTAACCTGCTTAGATGAGGGCCTGGCAGCTGGAGAACTTGGTGGGGGAAAAGGGAGTCCAATAAAGAAGAACAAGAAAGGAAGAGACACTAACATTGATTGAACTAGGAACTTTCTCATGTGCCACATCCTTGACTGCCAGAAGCAACTTTGAAATGGAGAATACTTTTTTACTGAAGGGAGAAGGGCAGCTTAGAGAGGTTAAGTGATTTATCCAAGTTTTACAGCAAAGTGTGACAGGACTTTGTCACCAAATGCTGTTTCTTTTCTACAACCCACTTTGAACTTAGATCTAACTTGAAAGCCAGCGTTATTTCGCCTCCCAAAATGATATTAGGATTAGGGGTAGGGAGAGGGGAGAAGGAGTCAAAGAGACAGCCCAGAAAGAAACTGAATACAGTGATGCTGCAGTAACTGTTTTCTCTTGTTTCTACAGGTATGGAGCCAAAATCCGGGCCCCTCACTCATTGGTCATGACCTTTCTCTTCCGGAGTGGCAGGTACCCATCCCCTTTGCGCATCTCTCATACAGGGAGAGAATGTGGTCACCCTTTAGTGCCAGCACTGTTGCAGCAGCTTCCTGGCTGGGTCTAGCCTGTCCCTACCATGACTTTCTAAAGTATAACTTTGATTCTGTTGGGTTGTTGGAAAAGTCATGACGCATTTTTACAACGAAGAACATAGAAAAAATACGTCATGACTTTTCTGACAGCCCAATATTATCCTTGCTGGAAAACTCTCCTGGCTCCCACAACCTTTCAGAGAAGCCCAACTGCCAGGTGTGTCCTTGAAGGCCCTCTGCAGTCTGGCTTCAGCTGCACTCCCACCTTATTCTCTGATGTTCTCCCTAGGATGCCCTTGGCACATAGGACTTGCTGCCATTCCATGTGCATGCCACATGTGGTTCTACCGCTACACATTTGCTTATGCCCTCTCCCCCCCCCCCACTCCAGGAATGCCCTTTCCTCTTCTACCCCACCTTTATTTCCTTCCTGGCAACCCATACCAATTCTCTGAGGTTCACTTTCTCAGAACACTGCCCATAACCTCCCTTCCTTGCTCAGACTTTTTGGCCTTCCTCTGATCTCTCATAAGTCTTCCGTCAAGACACATCTCAGAAACCACTTTTCTAGTTTTTAATGTATGTAAACTTATAACACTCACACATAGACAGCCATCTGGCGAAATCCAGCTTGTAAGATTTTCTCTTTTTGTATTTTTTGTTTTGGTTTTTGTCCTCCGAATCATTTTTTTTTTTTAAATGGAGCTCATTCATTCACTCAGTAAATATTTATTGGGCATCCACAATGGACCAGATACTGTGTAGCTGCTGGGGATACAGCAGTGAACAAAACAGACCATGATCACTGCCCTCGTAGAGCTTGCATTCTAGCAGGGGCTGGCAGAAAATAAACATAGGAAATAAGGAGAGTATATGGTACCTTAGAAGGTAATACAGGCTGTGGGAAAGAAAAATTAGAGCAGGGCAAGGAGATCAGGAGTGTTGGAGGAGGTGCAGGCTGCAGAATTATATAGGGTAGGCCTCGGTGAGAAAGTGATATTCGAGTAGACACTTTAAGGCAATGAAAGAGTTGGCCCCGTGGGTATTGGGAAAGAGTGTTTCAGACCAAAGGACTAGCCAGTGCAAAGGCCCTGAGGTGGGATCATTCCT